GCGGCCTCCAGCGCGGCTCCCCGCCGGCCTGAGCCCGAGCCCCACTCCCTGCCGCCCCGGCACCCCGCTCCCCGACCCGGGGAAATTCGTGAGGTTCCCAAGGAAATACGGCCTCGGGACGCGCACAGCCGCCGGCCGTGCCCCGCGGCCCCGGGCCCGAGACCCAGCTCTGGGGCGGTGCCAGGGGTGCTGCGGGCTGCCGCCCCGCCACGGCCTTTTCTCTCCCGGTTGTTCGCTGTCTTCGCACCTCTTGGCGCTGGTCTGTTCCCTTCTCCTCGGCCTTCGGAACGGCCACCGCTTTCTTTTCAAAAACAAAAAACCAAAAAACCAGCCCTTCCAGACCTCCCTGCCCCTGACAGGTTCTAGCTTAAAAGAGGGTGAACTTGGACCTTGCTTCCTTCCCTGCAGGAACTGTTCGCTTCAGTTCCGTTTGTTTTGTTTTCTTTTAAACGGACACATTATTTTATTAGTCCGTTCCTTTTTCATATGCACTCATTCAACAAATATTCATGGAAACACCGCTTATGCGCCATCTCATGCCCGGGGAGGCAAAGCATCCGCCTCCCCAAGCAGATACAGGAGGGGGCCCGAGGGGGCTGTTCCCCAGCGGGGTGGACTGGGTGGGAAGGGTTCGCCTGGCCTGGAGAGGTCTGGAGAAATCCTCCCCAAACCCCAGCTATTGGAATGGCGTCAGGACCCCGCACTGTGTGGCACTTGGAGCTGGTGAGCCCAGGGTCGGTGGTGAGGGCCTCACCCGCCAGGGCAGACCTGAGGGGTTTGGGAGGACGGATTCCCAGGGCACGGAGCAGCAGCTCACCACAGCGGAGGATGGGCCGCCTCCAGTTTCTGTGTGTTCCCTGGGGGCTCGAGGGAGAAGGCCATGGCTACTGACCACTGGTGCCGGGTTTTTTTTAAATTTACATTTTATTTTATTTTTGCGGTGCTGAAGCTCAAACCCAGGTTCTCATGAAGTGAGCTGACACTGAGGTACAACCCAGCGCCTTGGCGCCGCATTTAGTTAGTAAAAGATACGTTTTCCTGAGCGTCTCTCGTTCGGTTATGGGTTAGAGCCCCGAGTTCAGGGGTGCGAGGTGGAGCACACCAGTCGGGCTTGAGCGTGGGTGGGGATGGAGCGGCCTCCCAGCCGCTGGGAGATTTCGCTCTTTGTGGAAAGCTCGGCCCCTCTGTGGACTGATGCAAGAGCCGAAAGGGACTGGGGTTCTGCTTAAGCCAGGAGCAGGGTTCGGGTCACAAGGGGTGGAGGGGGCCTCCCTGGAAAAGTCATCAGCGACATGTGGACCAGCTCTGAGCTGGGGGTACGGGAGGTTGGGGGGGATCTGAGGTTTGTTTTTGTTGTATGTTGAACGAAGACTGTAATCAGACCGTGTGGCCAGACCACACTCCCCGTGTGCCTCAGTTTCCCTGGCTTTGAAAAGGACTTGCGCATTTCGATTGTTCGTTTTGACGGTCTGCTCTGCTCGGGAGCCCTTCAGCGGAGAACGTTAGAAAGCAGCGGGTTTTCAAACTGCTGACGCATTAACGCTCGGCCCGCAGCGTTCCGCAGACCCCCTCCAGGAGCAGGCAAACCCGCCGTTTCCCTAGGAGCGCTCTCCCGCGCCGCCCCGTGACCTTAGTATTGAGGGGGCAGCAGCACCAGGAGTGCGGGGCTTACAGTGTCTCTTCCTGGCGCTGGGTGAGGCGCCGTCGCCCCTGAGCTGCTCCCAGAGGCAAAGCCCCAGGAGAGTAGCGGGGGCCGACCGGACCGTGCTGCTGCGTGGCTGTGGTGGGGCCACGGGACAGAGGCCCCCGAAAATCTGGAGGAGTGAAGGTCTGAGAAGGGCAGCGTTTGTGCCTGTAAGTGGATGGCTAGCAGTTTACTGAAGAAGGGGAGTTGACGAGCTCCTTAATATTGAAGGTGAAATTTTATTATTGGAACATATTTATCCGCACAATTCCCGAGGACGAGAAAATGTGGCGTTCTGTTGATTTCTCCTTTCCGGGGTTGAGCCGAGAGCCTTGACGCCGGGCACGAGCTGTGCCGCGGAGCCGCTTCCCCAGCCTGTGCTCGCAGCTTCTGCAGGTCTTCCCGCAGTTTCTGACACAAAACAAGTCAACAGAGCTGCTCTGCGGGGGCGGGGCGGCCCGCTGCCTCGGTGAATCTGGGCTGGGGTAGCTGGGGGGGCTCTCAGCTCTGGGGCGCAGAGGGGACCAGGGAGGGGCAGCTGGGGCTGGCAGAGGGCAGGTGAGGGGGAGGGTGTGCCGGCTGGGGTGAGGGGTGGGAGTGGGCTCTCTGTTGTACACCTAGGTGGGGGGCTTTCTGGTGAATCTTCAAAGTGTGAGAGGATTTGAAACTGACTGTAGCCTCTCGGAGAGGCCGGGAGACTCCGGGGGTGGGGCTGGGCTGCTTAGGGTCAGGTGTCTCCTCTGTGAGAGGGAGGAGGAGGGGCTTTCTCCAGGCCTCTAAAAATGTCCTCCTTAGCACCCTGTTCCCAGAAAGACTCTCAGTGTTTGTTT